TGGAAGAAAATGCTCAGTGCCCGAAGACCTTGGATCCAGTTCCATCTATGTCATCGCTTCACCATGCAAACGGGCACGCCATATCACTTCTGTGCCCTCAGTTCTTCTTCTTCTTTTCTTCTTCTCTTCTTCTCCTCCTCCTCCTCCTTCTTCTTCTTTCTTTCCTTTTTTTTAGAGAGATCTTTGCTATAGGGCAAGTGCTCTCATCAGCCAAACAGAGACAGAAAGCGAGAAATCACCAACAAGAGGGATGGCCATGCAACAATCCCTTTTTCTGCCATTCTCCTCTCAGGATTTTGGGCACACACTTGTGCCCACATGAGTTTCAAGCTACTATGTCCAGGATTTAAGCTGCAGTGGGCCGTGTGGGAGTCCAGCAACGAAACCACTACGCCATCTGCTGGTCTCACATCCTCAGTTCTTCATCATTCAGTGGTGAACCATTTTTAATCCTAAAGCCTTTGCTGTCCCATTTATTTGTTAACAAATCATAAGTGCCTATTAGATACCAGCCACTGGATGCACAATATTAGTCTTTATAGTATATTTATGGAGCAAGTGTAATTAGTCCCAGAGACATTAAATAACTTGTCTGAGTTCCTTTGGCTAGCAGGTGGCAGGCTTGAATGTGAACCCAGGGTGGTCTAGGTCAAGACCCCATGCTCTTTCCATAAGGCTACACTGCCTCGTCGTGCTTGCTACCTCCTGGTCCATGTTGTTCCTTAACTGTGCTACATGTGGCTGATTAATTCAATGATATGCCTGCATGTCTCCAATATCCCAGGACCTTGAACTAGTCATGGTCGTGGTAGTTGCCTGTGATAGGCTAAAACATAACTACCCAAGATATATCGATGTCCTAATGCCTGAAACCTGTCAATGTGACCTTATTTGACAAAGGGATCTCTGTAGATCCAATTAAGCTCAGGATCTTGAGATGATGACTTCATCCTGGATTATCCAGGTGGGCCCCAAAATCCTGCCATGAGTGTCCTTATGGAAGAGAGGCAGAGAGTTATTGCAGACACGCATGGAAAGCAGTGTGACCACAGAAACGGAAACTGGAATGATGAAACTACAAGCCAAAGAACTCCAAGGAATGCCAAGAGCCACCAGTAGCTAGGAGAGGCAAGGGGTAGATTATCCCTTACAACGGCCATGGGAAGGGTGGCCTGCTAACACCTTCATGGTGGACTCTGGCCTCTAGAACTAAGAGAGAATACACTCTTATTGTTTTAAGACACCGTTGTGGTTCTTTGTTACAAAGGTCTCAAAAAACTAATGTAACGCTCAATCAAAACACAGAGTTCTAGATATTGAAGAGCCTTAGGAATCATTCAGCTCTGACCTCTTGCTTAGCAGATGAAAAGCCTGCAGACTTAAAAAAGGAAGTGATCTATCAAAGGTCACTCAGCAGGTAAGAGGCCTAAGACAAGTGTCCTGACCCCAGACTAGTGTCTCTGAACCTCCCTTCCACATGAACTCAGGCTAAGCCCCAGAGTCATGAAAGCCAAATGAGAAGCTAATTATGTATTTCTGTTCTTTTTTTTTTTTCAATTTGTTATAGGGTACGTATACTCACCAGAGAGAGACAGAAAGAGAGAGACAGAGAAAGTAGGAAATCAGCTCCCTAGGCCGCATGACCATGCTGCAATCCTTTCTCCTCTATTCTCCTCTCAGGATTTTTGGCATACATGCACATATTCCCCCCAGCATGTTTTTCAAGCCACCAGGTCCAGAATTGGAATTGTGCAGTCAGCCATGTTGGATTTAGCTCCCTTAACCACCATGCCACCCAAAGGCCCTCTTTTTTTTTTTTTTAAAGTTGCCTGAGGGTGTTTGTGCTCACCAGAGAAAGACAGTCAGAGAGTGAGAGGGACATGGAGAGAGCACCTAGTCATGCTGCAATCCCTTCTCCATTTTCTCCATCCTCATAGGATTTGGGACACACACATACATGTGCCCAGTGTGTTTTTCAAGTGACTGGGGCCCAGATTCAAACTGTAGTCAGCCATGTGAGATCAAGCTTCCTTTAACCATCAGGCAATGGGACCAACCCAATATTACTGCTGTTTAAAAGCTTTTGACAAGATGAGATGATGTAAGTTTTAGAAAGTACAGTTACTGCTGTTATCATTATTATTGAGTTGGGCAGCTGAACCTGCTTGTTCAGTTCCTCCTCCCCTGGGAGTCATCTACAGGGGCTGTCTTAGGGCCACTGGGTTCCAGATGTGGAACCCAGTGTGAAAGGAGAAGCCGGTGACTTCAGTCACACCACTAGCATGAGACTGCGCCCAAAACAGGTTGCAGGATTTTGACTTCCTCAGTCTTTCCTATGTTCTACTTTTCATTTCCCCTTCTCTTCAAGCTAGGTTAGTAGGATAGATGGGCTTCAGGTGTGTGTGTACGTGTGTGCACATGTGCATGCATAAACACATGCATGTATATGTGTGACGCAGACTAAGACGGTTTGGGAGGTTATTGGGAACGTGAACTAGCACCCCCACCATTAGGGAATAACTGGTAGAGAAGGCAGCATGTGAACGAAGAGTGTAAGGGGTGTGCTTCCCTCCCTCCCTGCAAGCCTGTGCTCAACAAGTGTCTCTGTTGTATTCACTGGGCTCCAGAAACTCTTACTCTAACTTGAATGACTACATACCAGTTATTCCCTACTTTGGAGGAAGTGAATTACTGAGAAATAAGGGGAAAAAAACCTTGCAAATACCTTTATGACTGAGCTTAAATGGAGAGCAGTATGAGAGGGACACATCTGAAAGGAGCTGTCATCGGCAGAACCTGGCTTGTCCCATCATTATCCCTCACGTTTCCATCTCCCCTCACATCTTGCCACTAGGTGTTAGTCCTGGAACTAGGGAGAAGAAAGGGATTTAGAGAGGAAGAAGAAAGCTCAGCATTGAGGGTCTTTGGTGCTCTTCTACCCACCACCATGAGGCTGAGTCCAACTGCTGTAGAGGAGGGAAGAGTAACAGGGACAGAGATATCCAGATGAGTTTGGAATTCCAGAGCCAAGGAGACCTGCACCTGCCTGTTCTGTGTAGAGCTTTGGTTGTCTACAGGCCTGTTACTTTCCATTACACCCTCAATTACATGATAACACTGGAGTAAGGTGACATGGGGTATTGGGGAGAAGGCTCCCCAAAGACCTCAGAAAGGTGAATATCAGCCCAGCTTCCGTGGCACTCACAGGAAGGACTAGGAGGACACAGAGAGGACCACGGGCCTCTCAGGATGAGCAGGGATAAGGGGACAGGCAGAACATGTTACCTCTCAGTGGACAAAATTATTTCCTTTTGGAAACCAAGGCCAACAAAGCACTGCAACAAAGCAAGACTGAAATAATGGGTCACTCCCTGTCACCACCTCAATGGTGATGTTAGTCACCTGCTTAATCCTGACCACTGTCCCTAGACTTAACATGAACCTTAGAGGAGAGAAGGAAGACAAAAAGTAAAAAATATCCAGAATAAAACTTCTTTTTTTTTTTTTTTTGAGAGGACTTTTTGCTTTAGGGTGTATGTGCTCGCTGGAGAGAGAGAGACAGAGACAATAAGAGCAAAAGCGAGAAATCACTCCCCTCAGAGGGGATGGCCATGCTGCAGTCCCTTCTCCTCCATTCTCCTCTTGGGATCTTAGGCACACAATCACACACACCCAGGGTGAGTTTCAAGTTGGCGAGTCCAGGACTCAAACTGCGGTCAGCCATGTAGGAGTCCAGTGATGTACCATTATGCCATCTGCTGGTCCCAAGGCTGAATTTTTCATCTGGAGCGATGCGACTGAGCTATCATTGAATTGAACTGAGTCTGCCCAGAAGTAAGCAGGTCATTTTTTCCCTTATGTCCGTTGGATGTTTTTCAAGTGCTTTACATGTTTAGGGTCTGAAATTAAGTTCCACGACAGAAAATATGCTTTCTCTTCTTGCCATCTAAGCCCACAATTGTGGGTGAATACCCATGAGCGGCTGAGTGGTTAGCTAAACTAAGACTCAGGGCACTGACCACCTTGTGTTTCTCTGGGACTGTAGTTCTCTTTTTCTCCTTCCCCTTCTGAGTTTGGTCTGTAGGACTTTATAGGGGAGAGCCTGGGCCAGTCCTGCACAGGTAGGATGGTGTAGGATTTCTGTTTAGGGGTTCGGGGGTAAGGGCTGGAGGGGCACGTGTGTATGTTTATGTGTTGGGGAGTGGGCTTCACTTGTGAAGTGACAGAGGACAGCTCCGATCATTTGATGACTACCTGGGAGTCCCAACCAGGTCGTGTCCTGGGAAACCACTGTGGACTAACCGAACTGAGGGGAAAGAGGCGTCCGCCTTGGCTCAGCAGGTCAGTGCCTTTCTCACTGTGGAGCCGTGCTAGAGCCCCAACGCATTTCCGAGGTCACCCATTTTTAAGGGAGCCTAAATTAAAGGCAGAGTCTTTAATTCCCCCAAGGGGTGAAAAGAGAAGAGCCATGGTTCTCCAAGTTCCTGGAAGCTCTGTCTGCTGACTTTAGAAGCCCTGGGTCATAGAGAGGCTTTGCGGAAGGTGTCTAGAAATGGGGGAAGGGTTCTGAGTGACCAGGATGTGAGAACAAGGACTAAGAGAGCCATTCTTGCCACCTGTGCCCAGCTGAATGAATGCCAGCCACATACCAAGCACTGGGCAGGTGCCTTCTACCTAGCAGCTGGTCAGATCCTCTACCTGTAGATTTGGTATTACTCCTCATATTTTCCAAATGAAAGAAACCTGAAGGTGATTTGCCTAAGCCTTGTGGCTAGAAAGTGACAGAACTGGATCTACATGCTTGCCACCCTGTCCTGTATCCTGCCGCTGCAGTGATGGAGGACTCCCAAGTAAGAATCTCCCCAAGGTCAAGGAAAAGCACGTGGAGCCAGCCAGGAAAACTGAAATGAAAAGCAAGGGGCCTGTGGGAGTCACGTGCCCCTGGCTGGCCACTGTGCCTGTAGGAGAGTGGCCCTTTAAGAAGCCAGGTGTGGGTCCAGCACCGAGCACAGTTTCGGTTTTGGCAGCAGCACCCAGTGCCCTGCTGGCAGCTTCTAGAGAGGCAGGGGTTACAAAGTGGCCGGAGGGCTGTGCCCCTGAAACCGGATCAACGGGAGAGAAGGAAGTGACTTAATGTAAGTGTGGGTGTCCTGGGGTTCCTGACGGGATGCTATCTGGGAAGGGCCTGGGACAGTAGTAATCTCCTACCTTCACAACTCCCAGCCTCCCTGAGAGTGGGGTGAGGGGGACAAGGGGACAGATCGTGAGACGGTGTGCAGGGTGCAGGGAGTAGAGTCCAGTGGGATGAGGGAGGACAGACATGCATGGAATATGAGGAAGACTGTCTGTGGCCAGCATATGCAGCTCTTCTCTTTAAGCAGGGTCCCCCAATTCCCTCACATCTCCGTACTTTATGAACAAAGTGACCTTTGGCAAGTCAGTACTGTCCCTGAGTCTCAGTTTCTTCATCTGTGAAGCAGGAATATAATCACACCTGTCAGTCAGGGTAACTGTGGGTTCAGATGAGAAACCGCTAGAGGGAAAATCAACTGTTTGGTATTTCTCAATTTAGTTCACTCACTGCAGGATTTATCAAACCCCAGACATGCCTGAATTCGGACAGCATGTCAAAGCACTGACACTCAGCAAGGCCTTTTTCATTCTGTGAGGTGTTTCGCCTCTGACTTTCTGGTGAGGCCATGTTTGGCCCCTTTTGCTGGGCTTCCATGCGGCCTTTTCTAATGTCAGTCCAGCTTTGCTCCTGTGAGTTTTTGCCACTTCAGACATAAGCATGTACCATTGGACCATCCTGCCCTTACAACAGGTGGGAAAAATGAGGTCCTCACAGGGTAACTGAGTAAGGTGGAACAGAGCACAGGTGGGATCCCTGAGTCCTGATGCGTCCTGATTCTGCAGCCAGGAAGCCTCAGACATGGTCTCCCCTCCCTCTGTCTATCCTCACAGCCCTCCCAAGCCACAGGCACGAGGGCAAGAGCTGGCTGAGCTCAACCCCCAGCCCCAGGTTCCCTTTGTGTCACTGCCAGTGTGTGGGGCCACCCAAGCTGCTCATACTGTGTACAATCAGGGGAATTGCAGGGTCTTTGACATCTGGAGAGGGGTTGTGCCAGTTTCAGGGAGTTTGAGTAGAAGGCAGCTCTCTGTCGGCTGGACATGGATGATCATGACCAGAGGCAGATCTAGAACTCTCCATTCATCTATCTCCCTGTGGGAGAAAGAATACTGACCCAGGAGTCAGGGGAACACCTCGCTCCGTGATCATCGCTGGCCTTTTGGCACCTCTGGAGCTCTATAGTTCTAGTTTAAAACTAGCATAATCACATTGGCTTTCATTTGCTATCTCTGCTTGCCCTGGACTTTTGCAGCTTCATCTCTTTCCCACCTGAAATACACCAGAGGGCAGGTAATTGTGACCCATTTTATAGCTGAGAAAACTAAGTCTTCTTGGGCTTATGTGAGTGATGCAAAGTCACCCAGCAAGTATGAAAATGTTAGCATTTTGGCGCACCCTTTTGATATGGTCATGTGGACATTTTGACATCACCTAAAAAACAAATCGCCTAACTTTAAAAAATTACTATTATCCTTACGTTGTGCACAGCAGAGACCTCACCCTTGTTTTGCCCTCTCACTGGGTGGCCTGAAGCTGGCGTCCCAGCATTATTGGCACCTCAATGTTTGACGGAGCACAAAGAATGGTGTCAAGGCACCCAGGTACAGGAAACAAATAAAACATACCCTGCTCACAGCAGGCGCTAAATAAATAGCAGCTAGTATTTTTTCAGGAAGAAATTTCTCTGTTGGCAGCTTCCTCTGAGGCCAGGTATCTCTTCCCAAGAACTGTCTTTTCTTGTGAAAGGCAGAGAAGAGAGAACTGAAGTAACCGGCTTCTTCCTCTAAAATCAGATCTCCTGCTCCTTCCCTTCCCACCAGCTTCTCAAGGGCAAGACCCTCCGAGGTACAGCAGAGTGGCTAAGAGCCTACGCTCTTGATCTCCAGTCCTGTCTAGACCACTTATCAGCTGCATAACCTGGAGCAACAGATTGCTTACCTCACTGTGCCTCAATGGTCTCATCTGTGAAATGAAGCCGCCCATTTTACCCTGCTCCCTAGGGTGGCTGTGAAGATGAACACCTGTAAAATACTTGGAAAGACTCCAAATGTGTTCTTCTAGCTTAGTCCATGGGGCCTGTCTCCTCTCTCAGCCCTGTTGGTCCAACCTGAATAGCTCACCGCTGGCCTTGAAAAGATGCCCAGGGGAACCAGCACATGGCATAGTGGTTACATCTCTGGACTCCCACATGGCTGACCATGGTTTAAATCTCAGACCTGGTGGTTTCAATATCATGCCAGGCACATGTGCAAACATGCCCAAGATCCCGGGAGGAGAATGAAGAAAAAGGGATTGCGGCATGGCCATCCCCTGGGGAGTGATTTCTTCCTTTCCCTCTGTCCCTTTCTCTCTGGTGAGCACAAGCACCCTAAGGGAAAAAAAAGAAAGAAAAGATGCCCAGCAAACAGACTTTGATCTCTTTTCACCTTATGGCAGGAAGAAGGAGAAGACTGCTGTTAGAAAGGAGAGGGAAGGAGCTGACATATTTTAAGCCTGTTGCCATACTTAGGACTTCACATATGCTATTTTTTTCTTATCCTTACAGCGACTTTCAACACTAGGTACAATTATCTCCAGTTTATAGATCAGTTGAGAAACTTGAGTCTCTAAGTTTAGAAGACCTACCCCAAATCACAGCCACCAAATGAGAGTGCAGAAGGGCCAGGCAAGGAGTTGATGCTTTATGCCACACTCAGTCAAATGCATAGACGTCCACCCAACCCACGGGAAAAAAACAAAATCAATCCCTAAAAGTAATTGTAACCTCTTGAGAGCATTTTATGCCTTTTTTTTTTTTAAAGGTTTTTGCCATAGGTCACGTGCACTTATTGAAGAGAGACAGAGAAAGGGAAAGTGAGAAATTATCCCACTGGGGATGAGAGCAGAGGGCAATGCCACAATTCCTTCTCCTCCGTTCTCTTCTCCGGATTTTGAGTGCACGCACACACATGCACGTGCCATGTGGAAGTCCAGTGCCTTACCCACCACGCCACCTGCTGGCTCTAAGCATTGTGTGTTTTCAAAGTGCTTTGGTAATATACATTATTCGATTATTCTCCTCTTCTCCTTCATATTCCCCCTTCTTGCACTGACCCTTTAAGCTGGAAGAGTCGGGGATTTTACACTCACTTCACAGTTGAAGGAGTTGAGCCAGCACATTTTGCCTGTGGAAGAGCTGAATGCTGGACCTGGGTTCTCTTCTACCCTCAAGGCTCTTCTTCATGCAACTATTACATTTCCAAGCTTGCTTCAGCCTGTGCTCAGCCTTTCTCCCATGGGAAATGAAAATGACAGTCCCAAATGAACTTGGGCCATGCTTCCCCTGGAAGTTAGGGAAGGGGCTGTTCAGGTCAGGCCAAGGAAAACCCCCTCCTCAACCAGGCAACCTCTCCCAACTCCTTGGAACTCCACAGCTTCCCACTCCTTCCAGTCCACACACACGGGTTGTCAGAAACTGCCAACATGGCTTCAAGTGGCCTTAGCTCATGGTCTCTGTCCTCTCCGAAGCCCCTGGGGTTATGAGAGCCCCACTCACCTTCTCTTGGTGCTAAACATATTGACAGCCCAAAACTGCTTCAGAACTGCCAGACCACATGGCTCACCAGAAGTGGAGCCGGGACCTGGAGCTAACAGATCTGCTTTCCTCTGAAAAGGGAGGAAGAAACCTGGAATTGGAAGGACAAATGCCTAACTTTACACCATGAGAAGTGACAAGCAGTCACTTTAACAAAAGGGGAGCTGGCTAAGTTAATTTCATAAGGGGACAAACTATTCTCCAGCATAGTCTCCCCCACCCCAAACTGCAATCACGGGGACATATGAATAAGTCAGAGCACTGAATCAGGTAGTAAGCAAACTGAAGATGATCTGAAAAATCTCAACCTCGCCAGTGAAAAACAGCTCCTAGTTTAAGGACCAGAAAAAGTGCATTTATGCATAGTATGCAATCATACATATATTGCAATAGAACAGACCCCGCTGCTCATTCAAGGAGTAATAAGAGGGTAGTGAGCTCCCAATTCCGTCTATCATGGGTCTTGGGGTTAAGGATCGCCTTAAGCCTTAGATTACACATCTACAACATGAAGATCGTAGCATTTACCTCTTGGGTTGCTGTGCTGATGGATGAAGTCATATGAGAAGACAGTAAGTGCCTAATGCATGCTATTCTCGTTCCTTCCTTCTTAGGCAAATCCATTTTTTGTTGTTGTTGGGTTTTGGGGGGTTTTTTTTGGTGGTTTGTTTTGGTTTTTGTTTTTGAGAGGTTTTTACTATAGGGCGTGTGCACTCTCCAGAAAGACAGAGAGACAGAGAGACAGAAAGTGAAAAATCACCCCCCAGGGGGGATGGCCATGCCGCAATCCCTTCTCCTCCATTTTCTTCTTGGTATCTTGGACACGCACGCACACATACCTGGTGTGAGTTTAAGCCACCATGTCTGAGACTCAAACTGCAGTCGACTACATGGGAATCCAGCGACATAGTCATAATGCCAACTGCTGGTCCTAAGGGGTTTCTAATGACTCTGGAGACACAGAGTCCTTTCAACTGCTAGCAGAGAAATTTGTTCCAAATTTTAGCTCTGGGCATGGAAGAACACCTGCTTCTGAGAATGTGGGTGCCCCTTCCTGCCCATCATCTCCCCTGAGACTGAACTGCAGCCTCTCTTGCCAAGGTCACCCTCTGCCAGGTTTGCTTTTCCAGCTGAACATGGCTGATGCTCTCATAGCTGACCTGAGACTATGCAAAGGGTACCAGGTGCAAGTCATGTCTCCCCTTCAAATGGACACACAGCTACCTAAACACATCACAAAAGGAGAGGCAGCCTGGAACTTTGGAGCCATCCCATCCAGAGAAGACAGACTTCTTAGCCTTCTGAAAGCTGTTCCTGCCTGGGAGCTTCTCCCACGACATTCTGCAAGTTCACTCAGGGGATCCCTAAGTCAGCCTTCCAGAGCACATCCACATTAGGGTTGACTAGCATTTGGCTCAGGCCCCCTCTAGGAGTTAATCATTGGCCTGGTAAGAAATGTCTAGGGCAGGACCAGCAGCTGGCGTAATGGCTATGTTGCTCAACTCCCATGTAGTTGACTGTGGTTTGAGTCTCGGACCCGGTGGCTTAAACTCATGCCGGGTGCATGTGCGCGCATGCCCAAGATCCTGAGAGAGAATGGAGGAGAGGGGATTGTGGCATGGACATCCCCCCTGGGGGGGTGAATTCTCACTTTCTGTCTCTCTGGAGAGTGCACACGCCCTGTAGCAACCTCCCCCCCCACAAAAAAAAAAAAAAGAAAAAAAAAAAGAAATGTCTAGGGCAATTAACCAGACTCAGAAAGCCTCCAGTTGCCACCTAACACCTGTATCTGTTGTTACCTTTCCCTAGCCCCTCCTTTTACT